AGCCTCGACCTGCTGGGCTCCGGCGATCCTTCCGCCTCAGCCCTCCAAGTAGCTGGAACTGCAGGCGCACGCTACCACACCCGGCTGATTTTTTGATTTATTGTAGAGATGAGGTATCGCTGCCCAGGTGGGTCTTGAACCCGCGGGCTCAGGCAATCCACTCATCTCAGCCTCCCAAAGGCACGGGATTACAGGCTGAGCCACCGAGCCCGGCTCCCCAGCCCTTTCAGAAGCCAAGTCACAAGAATTGCTTGAGCCCAGGAGTTCAAGACCCACCTAGACAACACAGCGAGACACTGTCTCTACAAAAAATAAAAAAAATTTGCCTGGACAACAGAGTAAGATCTAGGCTCAAACAAACAAACATAAATAATAATAAAAAAAAGGAAAAAAGAAAGAAAAAGAAAAACCCAGGCCTAGATGGTCACAATGATAAGTTCTATAAAACATTTAAGGAAGAAATAATATCAACTGTACACCAACTTTTGTAGAAAGTAAAAGAGGAGACAACACTTCCCGACTCCTTCTATGAGGGCATAATTACCCTGCTACCAAAATCAGAAAATGGCATTACAAGAAAAGAAAATTACAGACTATCTCTCATGATCATAGACACAAAAATCCTTCACCAAATTTTAGCAAGTCAAATCCAGGAATATATTCTAAAAAGATGTATCATGACCAAGTAGGACTTATCCTGGAATGCAAGGTTGGTACAACATTTGAAAATAGTCTACATAATTTACCTTATTAGCAGACTACAAAGGAAATCATATGTAAAACTGGGAAATAAGGATCTGTTCTCCCTACTTCTATTCAACATTTTACTGGAAGTGCTAGCCAGTTCAATAAGACATAAAAAGAGCAAAAAAATTTTTTAAATATTAAAATTTACAATAGCATATTATATATGAAATATTTAGAAATAAATTTAACCAAAAAATGTAAGAATTTCAGTAAGAGGATATTACTGTATTATTATTTTAAATAAATTACTTAGCTAATTTAAAATGATTACAGAATCCTTTGAAGAATACCTGAAACATGGCATTCTTATACACTGCTGGTAAGACAGTATGAAGGTACAACTTTTTTTGAGAACATAGAAATATGTTTCAAGGCCGGGCGCTGTAGCTCACACCTGTAATCCCAGCACCCAGCACTTTGGGAGGTGGAGATAAGAGGATTGCCTGAACCCAGGGGTTCGAACCAGCCTGAGCAACTTGGTGAGACCTCATCCCCACAACAAATAAATAAACAAACAAACAAATAAATAAATAAATAAATAAATTCGCTGGATGTGGTGGCACCTACCTGTAGTTCCAGTTACTTGAAAGGTTGAGGCAGAAGGATCGCCTGAGCCCAGCAGGTCAAGGCTGCAGTGGCTGTGAGCATGCCACTGCACTCCAGCCTGGGCAACAGAGTGAGACTCCCACTCAGTCAAAACAAAACAAAACAAAATGTTTCAAAAGTTTTAAAAATATTGAAATCCTTTCATCAAACAATTTGAATTGTAATAATTTATCCCAAGGGAATAAAGAGGGAGGTGCAAAAAAATTATAAACAAACATGTTTATATAGCTCTATTTATAGAAGCTTGCTAAAATATGGTCTTTTATAGGATGAAATATTATCCAGTCAATTATAATACACATTTATGCATGTGTACATATATATAAATTCACAATGGTCTCCTGGGTATAAGAAGCAACCAATAAGCCAGGCACAGTAGCTCACGCCTGTAATCCCAGCACCTTGGGAGGCAGAGGCAACAGGATTGTCTGACCTCAGAGATTTGAGACCAGCCTAAGTAACATGGTGAGACCTTGTCTCTACAATAAATCATAAAATTAGTCAAGTGTGGTGACACATGCCTGTAGTTCCATCTGCTTAGAAGGCTGAGGCAGAAGGATCACCTGAGCCCAGCAGGTCGAGGTTGCAGTGGCAGTGAGCAGGCCACTGCACTCCAGCCTGGGCAACAGAGTAAGACTTCCACTCAAAAAAAAAAAAAAAAAAAAAAAAAGAAGCAACCAACAATACTATCCATGCAGTTACCACCAATAGCCCTTTACTGACAATCAGGAAGGCTATGGTTTCAGATAAGTGAAGTGGGTGTATATACAACATTACTACAATATCTATCAAAAACTGGTGTTAATCTATACCTTTATATCACCATCAATTTTTTCCCATTCTTCTGCTGTAAAACTGGATGCTGTTGCTGCTGGTTTATCTTTCCTCAAAGCTCTACTTTCAGGAGCCAAGCCTTGAAGGTGCTTTTCACAAAATTCTGTAAGTTCAGGATAATAGCCTTCCTCACCAGACCTTAAAAGAAATTCATAATTTTAGAGTTAGCACCTTATCAGAGATCATCTAGACATGTGGTTTACAAGCTGGGTTTCATGGAGCCTAGGGTTCCACAGGGATCTCAAGCATTGTACAAGATTAGGATCCTGGCTTCTTAACGTCCTTTCTCAATCTGCGCAAACTTCATTTTTATCTGTTAATCTATGAAGTGGTACAAAGAAGAAGAAAGGAATTCCAAAAAAACAAATTTCCATTACATACTTTTTTTTTTGAGTTGAAGTCTCACTCTGTCGCCCAGGCTGTAATGCAGTGGCACACTCACGGTCACCGCAGCCTCAACCTGATGGGCTCAGGCAATCCTTCCACCTCAGCCTTCCAAGTAACTGGGACTACAGGATGTGCAACCACACCCAGCTAATTTTTTGATTTATTGTAGAGATGAGGTCTCACCAAGTTGCCCA